CAAAAGTGAGAAGTACTGTTAAGATGCAAAGAGTTGTTCGCACTCCTGTTCCTCCCCTCACTAACGGTAGCTGCAGACAGGACATTCCAACAGCGTCACCAAGGCTCGGCGGGAGCACTGCTGCTCATGGGGACGCAGCCGCGGCGCCGTCCACGGGCCCCCCGGCTTTCCCCAGCCACTTTCCCAGGGAACGCTACTCTCACCGGCACCCCGAGGAGCGGCCTGAGCAGTAACATGGCTCACTCAGCCCTCCATCCTCTCACACCAGACGCGAGCGGTCTTGAAAGCATGAGCTGGAAGGCACAGCAGCAAGGAACCGAGAGCCCCTGGAAGTCACCGCCGCACTTATCGATCCCCCTTTTCTCCGAGCCACGCCGCAGGAAGCGTGCACTGAGCACCACCACGTACGATGCTACCTCACAGCTACTCGCTTACTACTTCCTGTGACAGGAATGCTATTTTTACTTTTTCTGTCATCCTAATTCAACTATTGACCCCATTTTCCTCCACTACATTCTGTGCATCTATGACAAACAAGAACAACTACTGCCCCATACACCATTTTAAAGGGCTGAAATAGTACAGTGTATTTTGCATACTTTTATTCTCTTAAGTATTAAAATCCAGACATTGCCTTATCACAAATGTTATAATAAGAACAGAAAAATAATGAAATCTTAGTCTCTTGGCAAACTTGCAAGAAGTCAAACGTACCAACAGATCTCCACAGTCACCGCAAAAAATGCCTTCCAAAGAAGACCAGCAATTACAGCCGTGGACCCTGAACGTCTCCACCCCGGCACGCACCCCACCAGCTGCCAGGTCGGGCACCTTTGTGGAGGTGGAGGAAGGGAGCAGGCCAGCCCTGAGCACGCACCGGCTGAGAAGGGCCCAGGTGAGGAGGAGAGAGAGGGCTTTCCCTGGGACAGCCCCTGCCTCACCCTGCCAGCTCTGAGCCTTCCGAGAGCAACCCGCAGAGCTGGGACACCATCCCACCGCCTGCAAGTCACAGCTAGCACGCCCTGCTTTCACTCCCCTCCGCTGGTCTGGCTCCTAACGAACAAGTGAGCATGCCCACCCTTTTCAGCCCCCCAAGGAGACCCCCAGCAGTGCGCCCAGGCACTCTGCTCAGAGCGGGAGCTGTGGGGAGCGGGGCGGGCAGCTCGCACCGTCGTGGCCAGGGATGCACATCCAAACTGGGGGCTGCTTTCCGACTGGATTACACCAGTGTGGCCAGGACTGCAAGTTCAGATCACTACCGATATTCCTAGCACATTAGAAAGAAAACTTTAAAAAAAGATTCTTCTTTTAGCACAACTCAGCACAATTTGCAATTGCTGTGTTTTGTGTATTCCACTTCCTCTTCCTCTACATTTCTCATAACATCAGAGAGAACATTTGGCATGATCATCTTCCCTGATAAACTCCATTTTGCAGTTCAGAAAAAATTTCTGGGGACGGTGACCACTTTCAACAATTCCCAACCCAGTAACTGCATTGTGTATTTATTTATCAAGCAGCTACATCAATTTCCATAAATAGCTAAAAATGTGCACTCAAACTTACAGAACATTCGTACATTCAGGAAAAAAAATAAAACAAACCACAAACTTGTAAATATTATTCTTATGTTCAGTAAAGCAGCCATGAACTTTGAAATCTGACAGCTGTATTACAGAAGTCAAGAAAAAGTGCCTTAATGATATTGGAAGGGTTACAAATGGTAGCACAGGAGTTTGAATACAGAAGGAACTAAGAAATTTTAATGGTCTATACAACTTTCCTTTTGTGAATTTTGCCAAGACAACAGGATTTGCAAACAGAAGAAGTTCAAAACTTCTATATATTTTACCAAATCAATCTTGTTAATTTGGTGAATCAAGTTTGCTGGTTTTGCACAACTAGTTTGCATTATTCACACAGAATAAATAGACTTTATGCTGGATCAAGCATTTGAACATGAAAATTTGTTGCTCAAGTATGAAAGGTTATTCTCACATACAAATCACAAATTGTTGGTGCTAGTACATACCCTCCAAATCACGTCAGCAAATAGCAGCAGTTACGCAGAAGCAAAAAAAACCAGCAATGTTTCAAAAATTGGGGAAAAGGAAAAAGAATCCTTAAGCTTAGTCATCACCTCAAGTAGCATTTGGACAAAAAGGTCCTAAACTGACCTACCGCCAACCTAATTGACCCAACGTCAAATGAGGAGTATTCAGTTTCCAGATGAACCCCAACGTGGAATGAGGAGTGAATATCTACGCTCGCTTCAAGCGGCGTATCACTTGGTGGATCTGTTGCAAGTTCTCACCTTCTCAGGAGAGAAGAGGACGTTCTCATCACGAAGGTTTAAAGGCAGCTTGAACGAGAATGCAACCAGAACACGGATGAAAGGGCAGCTCCTCTGTAAAGCAGAAGCATGCCTCCTGCCAACTACACCCAACCCATCTCTGCAGTCCACAAATGAGCAGAGGAGGGCAGCTGTGGTTGTGAGGATCCAGAAGCACCAAGCAGCTGTATGAAGGCCGCTGTGCCAGACCAAATCTTTACCAGAGCACAGGAGTTAGACCTTGTGGTACCACATCACCATAGCTCCTACAGGATCCACACTAGGACCCACGACTGATGGAGGGAACAGGCTAGCAAGGTGACAGTGTTCACTGTCAGTGCAGGATTATTCAGCACAGTAAGGACAAGGCCTTTCAGAAGGAGCTGAGTGTGTGACCAGGTGACAAAAAGAGCAGATAAAATTGATCGTGAACACATATGACGTGATACACAGCAGGGGAGACAGAAAAGCCTCTAGCCTTACCCCTGCAGTGATGGGCTTTAGGTTGAACGCGACTGCTCTATGGCTATCCCTAACCAATTTTGAAGTCCCCCTGAGAGATCTGAAGACTTGTCTGCAGAACTGATCATTAGATGATCTAAACAGGCACTGCGGTGCGGGAATCCCTCAGCACCACAGAATTACACTGTCCCATGTTAACAATACACAACTCTTAACAACTGTATTTTCCTGTCTCTCACACAGGTCTCCCGGCAAGAGAGGAGGCCCTGTGCCTAAGAATGGAAGCTGCTCCAGACCCTTAACAAAGAGCACCACAGCAGTCAAATCAAGAAAGGTAAGGACACACCATTGACACTGAAAGATTTACAGAGTCTAGCTTGGGTTTTGGCCTCCTTCTCAGCCACAGACAGTTGATAAATCTGCTGGTATCAAATGTAATATTTGTCTAGGGTGTCTTCCATGCTGCATAGACACAATACACTTTACAAAGTTTTAATATCCACATCTCTAACCACATAGTTCTGAAATAATCCTTTGTTGTATGATGCCTCAGTATAAGGAATACTTCATGAACTTCCCAAGCCATTTAATATCTGCTATTAAGTCCAAGCGTAGAAAGATCTGCCACCAGGTACTTTGCTTTAGGAAACCCTACAGAGCAGGAACAAGTTCTAAACACATCGCACGCAGAGAGAGAGTCCTGCTTAGACAGCCTGACAGGAGGAAGAGAACACATACACAGCAGACAGCAAGGGGAAGAGAAGAGTTTTTAAATACAGTGTGTTACCATCTTAAATAAAAATGCCATTCACTATTGGTGCTTTTCCAAGAAATCCTTCTAGTTTTAACAATATCACCCCAAACCCTATGCATTATTACCTCCTAATCCTAACGCACCTATTCACACAGTGGTTATAACACCCACTCTCCACACCATCTTTTTCTTTTAAAAACCCAACTGAAGAAAAACAAATGCCTTGATGACTAGAGCTTAAACATAAAGATAGGACGGCAGGTCCTCGTATGGGAGGCCTACCAGGAAAAGATTAACTGCAGGCTTTGGGCGTGAACATGTGTAACACCTCCTCCATTGCCCCACTTACTCCATGCAAGTGCCAGAAGAGCATCTAAGCTGGTCGGCCTTTACAGTGTCTGCAAAAGAGATACAGAAAACAATATACCAAAGGAAACAATTTCACCTATTTGAAAGAAAATATCCATTTCTAGTTATTGCAAGGTTGCATTCAGGTTCCAATCTGCTACACGGAGGCATCAGCTACTGACTTTGAATTGTGGCAATAGGAAATTCTTTATTTTCTAAAAGAGAAGGTGAGGTTTTTTCCCCAGCTTCATGGCACTTACTTTCCAGTTGCCTAGGTTTTCATTTACCAAATACAGCAGCATTATATCTATATCTGTTCTGCCCTCCCGATAGAGGACAATCCACCCCCGTAAACATTCTGTCAAAGAAAAGCAGACAGCAGATGTGATTTCTTCTTGGAGAGCCTTTAAAATTTAAATCTGAATTACTTGAGAGGACAGCTCTAGCTCCTACATTATGCTAAGACACAGACACACTCCTGTGGGTCGTGTTACTAAAAGTAAAAGTTTAAAGCAAACTGTGCTAGCTGCACATACGAGTGTCTTTCAAATGAACATTAGACAATTTTGGCATACAGTAGATATTTCCACACTTCACTAACAGAAGAGCGGGTTTTATGCCTGCATACAAAACAGAACACTTGTACAAGGAATATTCATATCCCTCACATGCTTCCTGGTAAACCAGTGCTAAAAATACATACTGGTCTGTAAGGGTTAATGAGATGTATTTAAAGCCACAAAATCACCATGGCTCAGACCCCTCCTAGTTCGCAGTGCATAGACTTATACCCGTAGAGAAGGGGCAGCACAGGCCTTGAAGACAATAGATCGAAGTCAAATGGAGAAGCAAACAGATTCTCTGTTCAAAACAGCAGTATGGCCTTGAACATCATCAAAAAGTGAGATGGTACCATGTGGAAAATACTCACTACGTGACTCTGCTGGAAATGATACGGTTTGGAAATGTGGTCATTTCTGATAAGTATGCCAAGTCCATTTTGAAATTAGAGCAGAAATCTTATACTAATTAATGGAAAGCATAGCACCATTTTATCTTACTGAGATAATCTTTCTCTGCTTCTAGGAACAAAGATATTGTAAGATGTTCAACTCCAGCACAAACTCCTCGGAAAACAACTGCAGCCACAGCACAGTAGTAACTAAGACAGTCATTCCCCTGGTCTACAGTTTAATTTTCATAGTAGGACTCTTGCTGAATGGTGTGGCAGCATGGATCTTTCTGTATGTTTCTAGCAAAAAGAGTTTCATTGTCTATCTCAAAAACATTGTCATTGCTGATCTCCTAATGAGCTTGACATTTCCTTTCAAAATCCTTGCCGATTCAGAAATTGCACCTCCACAGCTCAACATGTTTGTGTGCAGATACTCTGCTGTTGTTTTTTACACAAACATGTATATCGGGATAACGTTTTTTGGCTTCATAGGTTTTGACAGATACTACAAAATTGTAAAGCCTTTATTCACCTCCTTTGTTCACACGGTTAACTACAGTAAGGTGGTCTCTATAATCATATGGTTATTGTTAATGCTTATATCATTTCCAAACATGATTTTAACTAATGAAATCACTAAAGAAAATTATTCCAGGAAATGTATAGGTCTTAAAAGTGAGCTTGGCAGGCAGTGGCACAAGGCGTCAAGTTATATTTGCACAGGGATTTTCTGGGTTGTTTTTCTTCTGCTAATCATTTTTTACACTTCTATATCAAAAAAAATATATAGCTCTTATAAAAGATTCAGAAGGAACTCAGATGTGACCAAGAGAAAAACCAGCCGTAATATATTCAGTATCATGTTTGTATTTGTTATTTGCTTTGTACCCTATCACCTCTGCAGAATACCATACACTTTAAGTCAAACTAGCTCACAGTTCAACTGCCAGTCAAAAAAAAATCTGTTCTATGCAAAGGAGTTTACTCTTGCACTGTCTGCTGCAAATGTGTGCCTTGATCCCATTATTTATTTTTTCCTCTGCCTACCTTTTAAAGAAAAGCTGTATCAAAAACTGCATCTCAAGCTGAAAACTTCAAGTGAGGTTGAAATTTCTAAATCCAGAAGATCAAACACACTTCGGGAAAGTATAAACATAGTGTAGGTTCAGGTCTGTAAAATAATGCACATTTCAGAAAGTTATTCAAGAATGCAAATGTCTCAGAAACTGAACAGATGAGAACCAGTAATAAAATGGAAAAAAATGTTTCAGCATAAAATATCAAGTGCTGTTTCTCTGTATAAAAACATTATTGCATGTTGCCGATATATTTACTACGTGCTACTTCAGCTGATGCTCTGATTGCATTATGGTGTGATATGACCTATCCGGATCTCAAAAAAAAAAAAAAAAAAAAAAGAGAGAGGAATAACTGGAACAACACATTCTGGAGCTCCAGGCCATGGTTCTCTGAAAGGATTATCCAACAGACCCCACAATCGCATGTGCTGTTGTTTCTCACGAAGCCAGGCACGACACAGGTGACGATGGGAACAACTGATACCTCCTCCTTGACTGGAGCAGACCCCACAGAAGCAACACGAGGAAGTTCAGCACAAGTCTCTGCCCTGGCCTCCACCAGCCCACAAAAAGAGGACTGAGACCCTGAGGGAAAGCTCTCTCCTGTATTTACCAGGTCACAAAGAAAAGAGTTGAAGGCAACGCGCAGCTTAAGGAAGGACTCTATTCCAACAACTGGGGGGGGGAAGATCAGGGGAAGAAAAAAAAAGGGGAAAAAACCCACACATCAAATCCTCAAAGATCTGTACAAAGCCTGAAAAACCCTTGGTAAAATTAGAGAGAGATATATAGGTTTCCTTAAGGGAAACTTTCCATAAAATTAAGAATTAAACATGACTATTCGTCACCCTTGGGCACCAAATGTCAGAATATTTCTATAAAATGTGATGCTCCATATAAGCAGGTGTTTAAAGATGATCCTTCTATAAACTAAATAGCACAGTTACACTGTACCATATTTCTCAGGACTTTTCTGAAATAACATAATGTACGCAAAAAATGTTCATACCAAACTGACTGAGATTTTAGTAACTCCCTTGACGTTGCTGCAGAAGGAGGTAAGAACACTCAAGGAGTCGTTTGAAAATGCACAAGTAGAGCTGTCTAGAAACTCTGGGGTATATTTAAATCCAGGAAGAATGATTTGTTGGTTTTCTCATGGTTTTGGCATGATGATAAAGCATTTCTCTCTGTACAAAGGTAATAAATGAAAGCCACCAACCTTCTGTATATAAATATAATCTCTTTTTTAAGTGCATTTTTCAGCGCAGCTTTTTTTTTTTTGCTTGAGTTTATTGTTGTACAGGGAAAACACACCAGTGTATAAAGTACCCACAAAAGCTTTCAAGCAGCAACTCTGGTAGCTGAATGCTTTCATTTTACTTAACAAAGAAGATAATAGGTACAGAAAACAGAAGTTACATGTGCCTCACCTTTCTGCCACCCTGCTTCATTTTAGTCCTAACAGATAATCTCTCAAAGTGAAAGATTTTTAAATATACAGTCTTTAAACCTTCCCCAAGGCTGTGGGTAACTCCTCTTGGTCTGAGACCACCAATGTACAGTAACAGTATTCTGCCATCATACAGGGTTATATTTCAACTAAAGAACTGGACAACTCTGCCAAGTTTAAACACACCTCTCTGGAGCATATTTACCTCCATTCATTTCCTGCTTGCCTCAAGAGTGGTTGCACCCCAAGCCCAGAAAGCAGCCTGCACCCGACACCTGGGGAGCCTGGATGCTCACCTGATGGCAGGGGCTGCGGGACCCTCAGCCCAAACCAGCCCTTAGGGACTGCAGGGGAAGGCTGCGTTTTGGCTGTGGTTTTTAAAGAAAATACATAAAAGATTATTTATACAGTTCTTTCAGAGCTCCCTGACTCTTGTCAAACTGAGACTTTGCAGGCTCTTCCCTCCAAGCAAGGGAAATGGCCTGTTGGGGAAGGGAATCTGCTGCTTTGTGGGAGATTCTTTGTCATTTATGGCAAAAACATTTAGTTCCTTACATGGCATGGCTTGGAAATTGTCTACGTAAATCTAAGTAATTGTGGCTGTGAAAGCACATTGGCATACAGAGATGAAAACACTTCCACAATACATATTTGTATAACTTTTTAATTACTTTGCAAGCTTTGAAAAAAATATTTATATCGCAAGATTGTCTCCTCACCCCACCAGATTACTGATACTAGAACAACAAAAATCTGCATACAGGCACCCAGGGGAAAGGATGCCGACCAACATACTTTTTCAAAAGTGACACTAAATTTCTAGCTTTTACTTTGCTCTGAAAAATCTTCCTCCGATAGCTCACTAGTCAGAAAACGCTTTTGTGACTCCCGATCCTACCGCAATTTGCGACCCTGTGAGTGACAAGTATAACACCATTATTAAACCAAGCTTCTGCTCCATTTCCCCGGCCTCACTCTTTACTTTGCTATATGAACCAGGATGGAAAGGTATGGGGCCAATTTTTTTCCCCCGCACTGGGTTAAGTTAATTCTTTTACACCTTCCCCAGCGCATCACACCTCAGATAAACCTAGCCAGCTCTTCAGACACCCAGAAGTCTTGTGGTCACACTACAGGCCAGCTCTTGCCTTGTCAACCTTCCACCTGGAGGAATTTCCCTAAAATTCTTGCAGTGAAAGTTATGGGTAACCCAGAGCTAAACAAGGTTCCCTTTCGACAGCGACCCAGTCCCCAGCTGCAGCTCACCCTCCCAACTTACTCCTGACTCCCTCCATGGCACTCCGGGAACAAGAAGGTGGATTTGGTCTGGTTATTCTTAGGAGAGCTAAGTTATTCAATCGGACCTGGAATCTCTCACAAAGGCGTGGTGCCCCTGGGAAGAACAAGCCTGCATCGCCGGCTGCTGAGAGACAAACACATACATTTGCGCAGGGAAGTTGTCGTGCTCACACATTTCAGCCTCTCTCCCCCAAGCCTGGTCGAGTCCCCGGTTATCCCTTTGCAAGGAGACATTGTTCTGCTGTTCAAAACCTTGAGATAGCACCCAGGTGTGGTGGCATAAATCTGCTTCAAAAAGCCCACAAACACCTCACATTTTAAACTATGCATTACCTCATAAACCTGCCCTAGCCTTTAGCGATACTGCACAGCTATCTACCCAGAAGCCAACTCAACATTACACCGGACAAATGACAATGCTGCGGTTACTGTGCAATGGGTTATTTATGCCAATATCGTGGTGTAAGGCTTCAAAATGGACCGTTTTCTCTGCCACTGATAGAGCATAGCAATTATTCAGGAAAAGAGCTAAACCTAGCAAATGGAAATCCTTCCTCCAAACACTATTTCAGGACAGAAAGCTCACTCCACAGCTGCCTCGACATATAAAAAAATCCTGGTTGTGTAGAAATGGGCAGTAAGGCTCCCACAGAGTTTAATTTGCATCTCAAAAAATTTTCTCTATTATAAAAAAAAAAAAACAACAAAAACAACTCACTAAGAGGGTGCAGATGCCACTTTAATCCACCTAACACAAGGCCACACAGTCACAATGGGCAAATGTAACGGGGGAGCCCCCCTTGTATTTGCTAACTTTAACACAGAAGGGACAGGAGGGAAGGGCTAGTTTCTATCTGCCAACACCTGTGCACTTATTCTCCCATCTCATCCCAATAAATAAGTCCTATATTATTTTTATGAGAAATCTTTGTTAGCACGTCTAATAATCGTCACTTCAGGACACTGTGTATCTGTAAAACAGTTCAAAGAATTAAAACTAAACCTTGATAATTGATGAAAGGCGACAGGACAGGCTAAGGAGCTACTCGCTCTTTGCCAGAAGGTGGGTGTGCTCTGCTGGCTGCCGATGCCGCAGATCCCCAGGACATGGTTATCTACCCGTAGTATGTGGAGTTCACACATCGTTGTGTGCCAAGCAGAGCAGATCCCCACTCTCCAACAGGCTCAGTGACACAGGCTACCTTGAACACATCTTACCTCCTTATGCTCTGAAATAAATATATTATTCAGTTTTTTCTTCATCAGAAATAGCTACTTTGCTCAGAATTCACAAGATCACTCCCATTTTTCATTTACAATGCAGACATTACAATGGGATAAAAAAAATTCAGTCTGTCAATGAAAGTCATGAAAAGCAGTAAAAGGAAATACCAAACTTGTTAGTTCATACATGATCGTACATGAAAAAAAACTTCTTGGCTACATGATTAAAGGACGGCAAGGACACCACTCAAAAATGGCTCCTCAAAGACACACCTCAATACTGAATCAGCGACTGTGACAGTCGCATGCAAAGAGAGAAAAAACTCACTTGGGACTAGTTTGTATCATTTGGTCATTACTGTGCCTCTGTCATTGATTTTGAATGCTTCTCTCACAACTGAAGGTAAGCTGAAAGAAGACCAATTGTTTGCAAGTGTTTTGGGTTTTCCCCTGTCTACCATTACGTAAATGATACAAAATCAAGATAAAAACAGGGTTTCCCATCAGTTCTCTATCATACATTGGCCACAGAATTTCTACCCATGCACATCTATCTGGCACATAAACACACACTGAAGAAATCAAAACTCAAACTCATAATTAAATCTCAAACTTTCAGTGCCTTTAACCACACATTTATACAGAGCAAAGCCCGGGAGAGCCACATCCCTCCCGCAAGAAACCCACCCCAAAACATTCTCCAACACAGCCGTTGCCGCCAACTCCTGAACGCGCCTCTGGAGATCTGCTCATGGGAGACAGCGTCACTGTCACTGCCTGCGCCGGGAGGAGAAACCGCTGGCGGGGCTCTGCCCGTGCCTGCACCGCTCCCACCGGGGGCTGCGGGGCTGAACCCCTTCCCGCAGGTGGCCTGATCCTGCTCTCGGGCTGCTTTGCGCCAAGCGGTGGCAGAGGGACAGGGCAGCAAGGACACTTGTCCTAGGCGAGGGGAGGTCTCCTGCTCCCCCGGCACCCTCCCACGCCGCAGGAAGCTCACTGTTACCTTCCCCCACCCTAAGCGTGGGTGAAATTTCTCCCAGTTTTCTCCCACTGTGCCCGATGCTGGGAAAACTCTGCCCACGTGGACTCCCTCTGTCAATGTGCCAAT